TCAACACCACTTTAAAGTGTTAGTTCCTGCATTTAAGCTACATGTCCGTATTTAACCAACTTTACGCAGCAGATAGTGTATAACAAAGCACTTCATAGTTCATCCACCTCCCCAGGAGGCTGTATATTTGTTTTGGTTACTTTGCGTTAGGAAAATGGAGGACTCACCTCACCCTCATGCCAGTTAGTTCATAAAAGTTCCCTTTTATATTCCTTGTCACATTTTCAGTATTAATAGTTTCCCTTCATCCTCAAAAGGCCATTACACATAAAAGTAGTTTACTGATGAAGCATGCTATGCAAAGGGATCAAGTTCTCTATGATTTCAGAAGAACTGGGGACATAGGATGGAATTAAGAAACAGGAGTTAGAGACGGGCAAGAAAAGCATGGAGAGGGAAGGTTGGCCAACAGGCTCCTCACTCTGTACGTCCTCTAGTCTGTGTGCCACAGCCCTTGGGCTGTGAACTGTTGGATTCTATTATAAAACCAGTCCCATCTGTAAGCAGAAATATAAAGAAATGTGAAGCAACAGCAACAGATTTACCTCAACTTGACCTTGATACTGCTTCTGGTCTAGGGGTACTTTGGTATAGACCCATAGTAAACTTCCTTTTCACCATGCTCTGGGTCTTTTTGCCTTTCTCTCTCTTCTCTCTCTCTAACTCTCTTTGTCTCTGTCTGTTTCTCTCTGTGTGTATCTCTGTCTCTGTCTCTCTCCTTGCTCTCTCTGTCTCTCTCCCTCTCCACATGTGTGTGTATGTATGTGAGTGTACCAGAGATCAACCTCAGTGTCTCTTCTCAGACTCTTTGCACTCTGTCAAATGTCACACCTGAGCTTAAAGTATAAGTGTAAAGTATAAAATATAAGTTCATGTGTAGTGAAAAAAGAAGGTAGGCCAAAGCAAGTCATGTGCAGACAGATGGAGGTGACCCAGGGCCCAGGCTTCAAACAGCCAGTGGAGATGGATAACTGAGGGAAAGAGAAAAGCTATTTCAGTAATGGAGGACTGAGCTGTGTGTGGAAATGATTACAGACAAACCAAGGATAAAACAGTGCCTAAAATGAGCACTGCTATTCTCTCTGACAAACTCCGGATTCCCGAATCTCCACGCTAACTCCCAAGCTTCACTTCTTCTGTTCCACCTACTTGCCCTCTAGAAAAATTCTCACCAAGATGTAGACTATTGTATTTTCCATGCATACACTATTTACTTTGTAAACGCCACTGTCTATTTCCTCTCAGACTGTGTTCACACTTTGGGGTTCTTCTTGGAAACTTCAGCCACATCTCTCAGAACTCACTGTCTCCTATGCTGCTCTCCTGTAGAGGCAGGCTTAGAAGTAGAGGAAGCTGCCTAAAGATGAGCATGTGAAGAAAGCCAGTCTACAGAGGAAGCTCTTATTTACTTGGGCTTCACTGACGAGACGGGCTCTTGAGTAGCGGCTCAGAGAAGGTTCAATTGGATCTTGCTCCCCTTCTCTCCCTACTTGTAGCCCCTTTGAAACCAAGCCACAGGCAGGATATGGTATACTTCCTGGCTCCTCTGTATCGGCCCCTGGTAAACTCTGTCCCACGCTCTCTAGACTCAGATGGACATCTTTTACAATTTAACTAACTTAGACAATAAAATTGCAATTTAATTATATCAGACTGCTCTGTGGGTAAGAGCAGCAAGGACAGTTTTAAACAAGGTATTTAACGCACTAAATACAAACCATACTGGCCTAATCCATTCTTCTCACAGAGGAGTATAAGCTGCTTGTTGCTACATAAGCTTCTTTTCACAGTACATTACATGCACATTTAAATTGTTAGGAAAGTGTTCACTTAGCGTTGAAAAGTCATCAGTGTCAAACTATTTGTTTCCGAAATATATCTGCTTAGGGAATGAAATGCGAACCGGAATAGGGCTCAGGACAAGCCATCTCCCTAATGCTCATGCATCTATGCACATGCTTAACATTGTGCAGAGAACCTCCATCCCTCAGCACGCATGTCACCTCCCCCACCACAGAGCACAAGCCCCATGAAGGCTGGAGTTTTGTGACACAGTGTCAGTTACAACCAACTAGTCCAGAACAGCTGGCCGTGACACTCCGGTGATGTGTCGGTCTTCACCATTCCAGATAGAGCCAGAATCAGCATGCTAAGTCTTTCTACCAAGGTGAGTTCCGGATGTCATGCACAACGTCCTCATGTTTGCAAGACAAGTGTTGTGCACAGCAAGACATTTTACTTTCTATTGTTATCAAAGAAGAGGGAGAAAGTGGAAGGAAAGGGGAAGACAGGGAGAAAGAAGCAAGGAAGGGAGAGGGAGTGAGGGGAGAGAAAAGAAGTCAGAAAGAGAGGAATCTAAGCTCCAGATCATTCTAATAATGCAGAACTTTGAAAATACTGTTTGCGATAATTATGGAGAGGTTAGGGTATGGCTTGAGCAGCACTTGAATAATGAGGTAAATGGACAAAAAGCTTGTATTTAGAAAGGAATGAAAGGTTATACCAGCTTGGATGACAGGGCACAGCCTGAGAACATTAGGAGACAGCATGAGACTCCCAAGGGCAGACCCCAGATCAGCAGACATACTCTGAAGATTCTGTCCACAACTCGATTTCTAATCTGTGCTCCGAGGGAAGAGTATTTTGAAGGCATTTAGGGACAAATCCCACAATAAAGTTCTTGGTGATGGGTCAACCAAGCTTCAGTGGATGACCTCATTCCCATTAGTATGTTGGCATCACAAACTTGAGAGAGAGAGACAGACAGAGAGACAGAGAGAGAGAAATTTGGGTAGTGTAGATCTAGGAGGAATTGGAGGAGGAGTGGGGTTAAATATGATCAATGTCCATTATGAAAGTCTCAAAGAATTGATAAACTATTATAATCCTGATGGAGGTAGGCCATTGCATTAGAGATCTTGGTGCTTGCTAAGGCAACCATGCCATAGGAAAAAAACAGTGATGGAGCTAGGGAGCAGCCACAGCAACAAGTCTTTTTTTTTTTTTTTTTTTTTTTTTTTTTTTTTTTTTTTTTTTGGTAGCTCCAACAGCAAGATATGTGACTTGATAGAAACTGCTTGCTTTCAGAAACATGGGAGGTTACAAAGACTTACGAAATAAAGTTGAAACAGAAAGAGGAGGAAATTGAGGTGCAGGACTTGAAAAATACTGAATGTGGGTGTACTGATGGAGTCACTGCCTTCTGAGTACCTCCCCAACCAGGCATTGTATGGACACATTGGAGACCTGGGCGTTGGCTTGGGGAAAAGTCTCTAATCACGAAACCATAAAATACCAGGAATGTTGCAACTCAATGAGACACTGCAAAGTGGCCAGCATGTTGAAGGGGTGTTAATTTTGCCCAAGAACATTGGCAAAAATTTGAGGGAGGAAATAACACTTGGGTGAGGTTTTAAATTTGAAGAACATTGCCCTAAAAATAACATTCTCCAAAGGAAGAAATAGGGAACATTGAGGGAACACAAGCAAGCTTGCTTTAGGTGGCACCAGGAAGAAAAAAGCTTTTAATCACACATGTAATGCATGTTTCTTTCTGCGTTTGACAGGTTTTATCCATATGCAAAACTGTTTCCTGGACATTCTTGTGCAGGATCCAACTATCCTCCTCTCAATGGAATGACAGTGGTTCTATCAGCCACACCGCAGTCCCTGAGCTCAGGAGCAGTCAGCCAACACAACTGGATCCCACGGCTTTTTATTTTTAAGAGAGTGAGAAAGAAGAGGGGAAGTTGTATGGGCAGGGAGGTGGGAGAAATCTGGGAGGTGCTATAGAGGGAATGAATATGATCAAATTATATGAAAATTTTAAACAATAATCACAATCATTTTAAAAGTCTGACTCTAATATTTGTGTGTGCATGCACGTGTGTGTATGTACGTTTAAGCGTGCATTCTTGTGCATGTGCTTGTGGAGGCCAGAGAATAACCATGGGTGTTGTTCCTCTATCGTGTGTGTGTGTGTGTGTGTGTGTGTGTGTGTGTGAAGGTGTCTGCTGACAGCTCTGGAGCTTGCTGAGTAGGCTAGGCTGGCCAGCTAGCAAACCTCACTGATGCTTGGTCTTTATCTCCCTAGACCTCGGGTCAGAAGTCATGTCACCATATCCAGCCTTTTAGAAAGGTGACTTACAGAGTTATGGAGAGCAAACTCAAGTACTCAGGCTTGCGAGACAAGCATTTTAACACCTCCAGCTCGTGATGTTAATATGCCTGGTTGAATGTGTCTCTCTGTGTGTGTACACGGGCATCCATGTGCCCTAGACATATACATGGCATGCTAAACATACTGATAACAGAGTAGAACTGTGGAAGGTTGGTTTTCCCCTTCCACCACATGGGTTATGAGGTTCAAACTTCAGTCACTGGGCTGGGTGGCAAGCACCTGTACCTACTCAGTCATCTGCCGGGTCCAGCTTTAATGTTTTTACTACTAAATTATTAAAGAGTTTAGGAAGTCTAATCACAAAAATATGGATAGGGAATGACTACTATATGTCCACCAAATGGATGCTCAGTCCAGCAGTGCAAATGTTGACTTAGTTTGTCATTGTTTAATCTGCTTCTGACAAACCTTCAGAATCAAGGTCTAAGCTCCAATGGACCTCTGATTACTTATTCTACACAGCTAAGGAGCAAATACCACCTTAGGACTGGTGGACCATTTAAAGTCACACAACTAGCAAGCCTCAGGGCCTAGACTCCAACCCACACTACCTAAAGACAGGTCCATGCACTTCCATACAGTCCCAGTACACAACACAGAAGCATGCTGTTTCCTCTCCCAGAACTCAGTATGCTGGAAGTCTACAGAACTAACAGGATTGTATCACTGGTTGCTTCAGACTGGGGTAGGAAACGTCACCACCAACAAACAAGAAAAAAGAAAACAAGAATAAAGATGAATAAAAAACTGGGATTCTTCTGACTTAGAGTTATAATAGAAGCATAAGACTCTATACTATTGATGAAAACATCAACCTTACCTCCAAGGACCATGCCAGCCTGACAGCACTTTCTCAGGCGACATGCTGGGCAGTTTTTCCTGCGGATCTTATCAACAATGCAGTCATTTCTTCCGGCACATAAATAGTTATGCTGCCCTAAAAAAGGAAAAAGCACACGTCACTCACAAGTTCTACAGACTCCAAGTCAAAGGTGAGACACAGCTCCTGTGGCCAGCCTCTTGCTGGCCATCACTGCATGCTGGAAATGAGACAGACTTACTCAGCTCCTCACCTGTGACTTCAGGGCCTAAATGAAGTGATGGTAAGTGCTAAAAACATTTCAACAGCTGTTTATACCTAAATAAAGAGCTGTGATTATCAAGTTGAATGCAGCTTTTATGTCATGACAGGCAAAGGCCTGGGTAGTACAGCATTTTATTGTTTGTTTGTTTGTTTGTTTGTTTCCAAGACAGGCTTTCTCTCTATAAGTACCCTAGCTGTCCTGGAACTCACTTTGTAGACCTCCAACTCACAGAGATCTGCCTGCCTCTGCCTCCCCAAGTGCTGGGATTAAAGGTGTCGCCACCATACCCAGCTCCAGCATTTAAATTTAAGTAGGAAAGGGCATTTCTGATAGTTGAGCACACTGACATGAAGTTAACACATTAACAGGTTGACGTAACCAACTTCTCCTGTCACGTGTCCTTCCAGTGGGCACCCACTGAAGACTGGAATGGACGCACACATGGTCCTAGTGGTTCCGTAAAATCTGGATGCTCAGTTCATTCGAAAGTATGACCATCTTTGGGACTAAGGACTGGGCCATCAGAACTGCAGACACACCATGACCCAGATACAGCTTCAGCTTCGTCTCCATGCAGTCTGTTTGGCTAAAGGAACACAGTAATCATGCAGTCCCAGCAAGACATTTCAGTTGTTAGCTTTTACCGCCTTTTTTGAACAGTATTATTTGATTTTTTCCTAGGTCCCTGGTCTGTCTAATCTTAAGTTCTTGGCCACCCATGCAGTGTTGGGTAAGTTACACCTTGCAAAGTAGGCCTTTAGTCAAGTCAAGATGGTTACTGTTCAAATAAGGGGGGAAATGTAGAGATAAAATGACTCCTAATGCTATCTGCTGTACTCATAGAATAGTGCCTTATTCTTCTATTATCAGAGAAGGGGCTGCTCCTGCAGCTAACAGGAACAAATATGCATACCCATAGTCAGACATGACACAGAGTGAGAGACCTTGGGACATTCAGCACTAATGTCTCCAGCAATCCCTCCTCTCAGAGCTCACGGAACCCCATGGAAAAGGAGGCAGAATGAGTAGAAGAGCAAGAAGGGATGGAGGACACAAAGAAAACAAGACCCTCTAAGTCACAGAAACTGAGGCAGCATACACAGGACCTGTACGGGTCTGTACTAGGTCATGTGAGTGTGTGTATGTGTGGCTTCTAGTTTAGCATTTTACAGAAATGAGAGGATCTTCCACCCTTTATCTGAGATGGAGTTCTAACTGACCTATAAATTTTCCAAATAGGATAGGAGTATCTGGCCAATGAGTTTCCAAGGATCTATCTGACTCGTCCTCCCATCTTGACATCTTTGAATTACAAGAATGGGCTACTGTGACCAAAATTTTATATGTGTTTTGGGAATTGAACTCAGGTCTTCATGTTTGCAAGGCAAAGGCTTTACTGACTAAGTTCAATAATTCTTTACATTGCTATTACCTACAGAAAGAGAAATTTTCATTATCCCAAAAGAACTATGTTTAAAGCCCTGCAAAATAGGTAGTACTTGCATACTGTTTCTAACTGCTCTCCATATTCAACTTCCTGGTGTTTCAATTGCTTAAAACCTTAGTAATATTAATAATCATCAATAATATTAATAATAAATAACATTAACAATCATTAATAACATGATTGAAAATGAAAGACCAAAACATGATGAGGCAACATTGCCTAGTGACTTGTAATATTTAAACTATGTTACGTGGTTCCATTTTAACTAAAATGAAACTTGCACTGTAAACTAGAAAAAGAATTTCCTGTAGAATAAGAAATCTGTATCATGTCGCCTGTTTTTGAAGAGTCTATTCTTTTTAAAAAATGTCAAGATCATAAACGTATGGGGGAGGGATGCCCACGTGAGTAGATGTGCCCTCAGAAGGCATGGGTGTCAGGCCCACAGAGCTGGAGTTAGAGGCAGGTTGTGAGTGGCCTGACATGGATGTTCGCAACCAAACTTGAGGCCTTCATAAGAGCAGTACGTGGCCCCATCCTCTAGCCTTTTACACTGTGCCATCCCTCTAGCCTTTCAGTCGCCTTTTAACAGAGCACAGGGGGACAATTTTCATTTGTGTATGAGAGAAGTCACACAAAAGACAGAGACACAGAAGTCCTGAATAAAATACAACAGTAGCAAGTTGCTTAATTACAGTCTGGGCTACTTTTTGAGTCAATCTGTGTAACTCAAAAGTGGAGAAAAAGAAAGGACAGAAATACAATCTCAAATGGCACATATGGAGCCTAGGACCCAAGAACAGGAGTTTAAAATCCATGGGTGAATGTCACTGTGTTTATCAACCACACCCAAAGGCAGGCTCCATGGCCAGAAGCAGTTGGCCAACACAAAGTGAACTCCATGGTCCCTTCTTTCCTTCCTTCCTTCCTTCCTTCCTTCCTTCCTTCCTTCCTTCCTTCCTTCCTTCCTTCCTTCCTTCCTTTTCTTTTTGTTTTTTGAGACAGGGTTTCTCTGTGTAGCCTTGGCTGTCCTGGGCTAGCTTTGCAGACCAGTCTAGCCTTGAACTTACAGAGATCTGTCTTTCTCTGCCTCCTGAGTGCTGGGATTACAGGCATGCACCACCATGCCTGGCAAAAGATATATTTTCTAGGTCTAGCCTGTGTTGACTGTAACGGATACTAGGAGTCAGATTACCCAAGTCTAGTCATTTCATCCAACATATCCTGCATTCCTCACAGAAATTACTGATGACAGGGACAGGGAATGGGATGCTGCCTTGGGATAGAGAATTTGACTTTGCAGAAGGCTGAGAACAGCTCATGGTGATGCTACAGCTAAAAGGCACCTTGGGCCCTCCAAAACTCATGCTGATATCTAATACCATAGAAAGACATTAAGAGGTTGGAGCCGGTAGGATGGATGATTGGTGCCTTGTCATAAGAGGGTGTCACAACCTGTGCATGTCATTGAAGGCTTAAGAGAATAGTTACTTCATGAATTACCTCAGGAAAGGGTCTGTTGTAACAGCCACTTTTCTGGGTCTCAGTTCAGCTCTTTGTCTCAACATATATCCTTCACCACCACAGGACTCAGAAACCAAGAAGGATCTAAGTGTGTTTCCTCAGCTTGAGCTAGAAACAGATCACTTTTCCTTGTAGTTCACCCAGTCTGTGGTATTATGTTGTTAGCAACAGAAAATGAACCGAGACACTGGCTAAATATAATTTAAATAAATTCAAGTGATTAAGACACATTAAGTGCATAAACATCATGATAATATAAAAAGGAACAAATGAGAGAAAGACACAAAACTCACTGGAAAGCCCTAGAAGTTTCTAGGATACAAACTAGTCACCTTGAAAATTGATAATTAAGTTTAAAAATTACCCAGTTCAAGACTTCCATTATAAATTGTATTTTAAAAATAGAAAAGTTCCTTTCGGAAGAAAAAAAAAGCATGAGAGTGATTTGTAGGAGATAAAATCAGAAAGGATAATAAAAGTAGAAAACTGTCCTTTTGCAGTCTTAAAGAAATAACCACCACTTGTGATGCCTAAAAAGTCCATCAAACACTCTTCCATTTTACAACTGTTTGACTTTGTGGGACCACCTCTTCATAGGCTTCAACCAAAACAGCGACGCCAGCTGTCTTCTATGAAGGCCAATATTAACTGACTTCCAAACTTGTAAAACAATGCTATTTTTCTTTTGGCTTATGAGTATATCTTAATTTCATTTTAAAATAACAAGTAGGATTTGTTGTGTGTATACCCCTGCCAGAGATTCAGGAAACACCAACAAATCAATTATACTAATCATCAGAGACTCCTATGTGACAGTATTACTCACCATTCTTATCATTGAATTTCTTGGCTCAGATAATTAATATCTGATAGATTATTATGTTTTATATGAGGAAAGCAAAGTTTCAAAGTCTACAAATCAAGGGGCTGGAGAGATGCCTCAGTGGTTAAGAGTAATTCCTGCTCTTTCAGGGGATCAGGGGTGCGCTTTCAGTACCCACATTACCCAAACAGCTACAAGTCCAGCTCCACGGGAGTCAATGCCCTCTTCTGACTCCGCAGGTACCTGTACATACCTGGCATACAGTAATACAGTCTCAAACACATGCATACACACACAGAGAGAATATAGTACATATACACATATGTATGTATAAAATTTGGGAGTTGCCAGGCACGAGGATGTTGGGATAATAACTCCAGTCCTATGACAGGACAGGTGCTCATAACCATTGATATATCTTTCCATCTTCCTGTAATATCAGTTTTAGTTTCCAATGCGGTCAACATTGGTGCATATAATCCATATATACACAAGATCTTTGGAGGTCTCAGTAATTTTAAATTCCTAGCATGCTGAGTCTCTTTGATACACTAAATACAATTTTTATGTAGCTGTTAAACTTACTTTTGCTATCCAGATTCCAATTTCTCCCACCTATTAGGTCCGTGGCCTTGAACAACTCATTTAATCTCCAGGCACGTCTGTTTTCTTATCTATGAAATAGCAGCTCAGTGCACAATCATGTGAACAAAATCTGTAACGCTTCACCAGATGCAGTCGAAATGCTCACTGGGAAGGAATTCTGATGGCTCAATAAGCAAATACTTATTGACTATCTGTTATTTCCTGTGTAATTCCATAAGAAAATGCCCCAGAAGTTTATTTTATATAACCACTGAATATTTTTTTACTGGATTTGATTTTCTTTATCTTCTTCAGAGACCTATCATTTAATGAGTTAAATATCCACTTTCCATTCACCAGATTTTCTAACTACAAAGTGAAAACACCATATTCATTAGTCAAATACATTTTCACTCAAATTTAGTTCAATTTTTATCTACCCCATAAGAAAATTATCCGTTCAGTCTATTTTC